GGAGATTGGCTTCTCCCACCCACAGCTACCCACATCTTCTTTCAATTGAAACCCATCACCTAATCGGCATGCAAATAGTTGCTCTCTCCCTCCGCAATGTCCTCCAAGATGGAAATGACTGCTTCTGAAATAAGTTAACGCTATGCAAATTTTCCATGAGATGGCAAGGGGCGTGAGGAATACGAATTCATGCGCCCGTACCACATCGCATTTACAATGTCAATACCAATCATATCTATTCTGGTTTCATTTATCGCTATATACTGTAAACCTATTCGTCATTTTTCATTTCTGCCAAGGTCCCGATTAAGGTCAGGCCGCCGTAGACTCCACCAGTTCAGCCGCCTATATAAATGGCCACCGAAGTGTGAGGTTACTTGCAGGCCTACGTCGATGTTGCGGGTGATTTTGTCGGTTCTAGCATTGACCCAGAGCCATGTGATGGCCCTGCCCTTAAAATGGATGTTTTATGGCCCCTTAGCCTCAGCGCTGTACAATGCTGGAGAAGGAAATTTCTTCAGTTATAGTTGCAATTATTGCCGATGTAATGATAAACTTTGCACCTATGTTTGCATTGTCTGTGAGTTCACTTTTGCTTATCCTTGTCTCTATTGTTGTTGCTGCCATCGCACAGATTATCAGCTGTATCTACGATGCGGGATCCAATCAATGGCAAAAGTCCATTGCTTTAACAGTTATCATGAAGGACTGACTAATTGTAAAGGATCAGCAGTGAGTATTGATAAGGAATTAGGAGGAACGCGAATTAAGGATGACATAAAAGTGCTAGTGTCGCCATCAACGCAAGGAAACACGGCAAAAATGTGGACGAGAAATGAAGCAAGGCAGGTATCAAATTTATTGCAAGGACAAAAGATGCGAAGCGAAAGTGTTGCAGAGGAATGGAAAGTAAGGATGGTAAATGTAGAGAGGAATAAGCAAGACAATATCAAGCAAAGAAGAGCACATAAAAAAGAAGAAATAATTAGAAACTGGAGGCGAATAATGCGTCGTATTAAGACTAGAAATGCAGAGGTGATGAAAAATCAGAGTGAGATATCCACAAGCATAAAGGAGAAAGGAAGAAGTATGAATGTGCAATTGAATGAGACGAGAGATGTTGAAGTTGTGAAAGCTGAGGATGACTCGGCTGCGAGTCACGAAGTGCTGTTGGATAGTGAAGGGGCGCTAGAAGACGTGGTGAACGCAGGAAGTGTAGTAGGAGAAGGAGAAACGAATGGGCAGTTGGAGGAGATGGTGAAACCGAATGAGACGAGAGTTGCTGAAGTTGTGAAAGCTGAGGATGACTCGGCTGCGAGTCACGAAGTGCTGATGGATAGTGAAGGGGCGCTAGAAGACGTGGTGAACGCAGGAAGTGTAGTAGGAGAAGGAGAAACGAATGGGCAGTTGGAGGAGATGGTGAAACCGAATGAGACGAGAGTTGCTGAAGTTGTGAAAGCTGAGGATGACTCGGCTGCGAGTCACGAAGTGCTGATGGATAGTGAAGGGGCGCTAGAAGGCGTGGTGAACGCAGGAAGTGTAGTAGGAGAAGGAGAAACGAATGGGCAGTTGGAGGAGATGG